CACACTTCTAATATTCATGATTAAGACAACAAATCGTTCATCAATGTTGATACTAGCCAGAAAACAAAACCATCCTAGGAAAACATTAAGTGAGAAGCACAGTTTACATAATTTTTTTTATTAAAACTGAACACTTCACAATATTTGTGATGCAATGATCAGAGAAGTTTTTTTCTCTTTATCTGTAGTTAGGTACCTTAGCCTGATTTTTATACCACTTGTTGATTCTTTAGGATTGTAGGTTTTGTCACCTATCCCAAAACATAAGGCTTGAGAGGAAGAGGAGAGAATACAGAAAAGTAACAATAACAGAGAGACCTGAATCACATAACTGCACCTGTTTAATTTTTAGGAGAGTTTATTAAAAACTTCTCACCATTCGCTTGCTAAAAACTTAATGTTTATTCTAAGGAAAGTTTGTAATCCCTTGAATACTGTCTTCCCAGATCTGGCATTTCTCCATTAATCTTAATCGCTAAATTTTTTGCGCTACCTATGCTTAAAATCACATATCACATAAAAAAGATAGAAAATTAATATCTAATCCTGATTATCTCATCAACTGAATTTACATCTCCTTAGTCTGGCAGTAATTACGGCCTATTTTACACTACATATGGAGAATCAGAACCTGACCAAAATCAGAAAATAAATAATCTTTCCTGTTAAAAAAAAAAAAAACCACCTCTACTTTCCTGTATCATATTTGGAAAACAACTGCTGCCTTTCAAAATGTCACTTTGGAAACAGATCATTACCTAATGTCCACGTTCCTTCATCAGCTATTGTGGAGTCAAAAAGTTTACCCTGCAAAAGACATTTACAATATTACATAACAGGAAAACCTGTTTAGTATCCAGTTTCTGTGAAATTGCAAAGTGTTACTCCCAGCTTGCATTCTTCCACTCTACTGAAAAGGGCAATCTGGCCCCACAAATCTACACTTGCACCTAGACTAGCAAATAATTATTTTGTTACACAACAAAAATATTAGAAAATAAGTGTTTAATGCAATAAAAATACCTGTCACTGTTTCAGTATCTCCATTCAATGAAAGGGGCTGTGTTCTCAGGGGGGAATGCCATTTTTAATTGCCTTGCCATCAGAATTCCAGTGTCTGCTAAGGGCCATGCCCACCTATGGCGCAATGTAAATACATTATGATACAAAGAATTTATTGCTCACTTCCAATGAGAAAGCAGATTTATATTTAATCCTCATCATCTCCTCAGCTGAATCTACAGCTTCTCAGTCTGGCAATAACGATGGCTCATTTTACAGAGCTACACACAGAGAATCAGAACTGGACCAAAACCAGAAAAAAAGAAATCTTTCCGGAAAAAAAAAAAAACCTCTGTAGCACATTTTGAGAAATTATACTACCTTTCAAGCTATCACTTCAGAAATAGCGTATTACCTAATGTCTGCTTTCAGAAAGAGACTGGTATAAATATCAGAGGACTTCAACAATATTACAAAAGGTCAGAACGCAGCTGCTTTCAGACGTCCTGACTCCCATGTTCTCTTTCATTTGCAAAGATGATTCTGGCTCTTTTAGCGGTGAACGGCAACGCACCACGCAGCGGAACTTATTTTTCTTGAAAATATACTCCAGCAACAGAAAGTCTTTTTTGACTCACTGCAGTTTATTCACCCCACTTAAAACATTAAGTTATACTACGTTACAAACGTGGAATCAGGAGCGTTTCTGAAGTGAAAACGAGTGTCCGCGTAACGGCCGCCGCCGCGGGGGCTGAG